GATACTCAACTCCTCCACATTTTTAAATTCGAGCGTCCGATTCCAGTATATTGTATATTTTCATATTGTGCCAAATAAAAAGGTATCGCATCAGAGCCCTAAATAACAATGTTTCAGATGGTCAACGTTGAGGCATGATGGCCCTAATTCAGGTAAGTGCAATGCCACACATTTGGTGCAAAAGAAAAGATGGTTAATAATCATCGATAATATTGTCTAGTAGTTAAAATTCCTTGGGCAGTCTCATCTATTATGGATATACTTGGATTTCAGCTAATTCAGCAAACTCCTTGGAAGTTATTGTGTTGAGCCTCAGTCTGACCTGAGCAATCCAAATGGGTTCAGGCATGAACAACCAACATTCACAATAGAGATACTAGTGACTACGTGGTAATTCAAATTTGAATAGTTAGACACCGTGCAGTGATCTACTGGTGTTTGTCTGTTTCATAGATCTCTTCAAGTTTCAGCCTCGATATTGTAAATGTACACTAATGTATGCCGTGTTCGCCAACTTAATATTTTCAGATTTACTGAATGCCTTGCAAATGTTATGATCGCAGTCGAGAGCACCTCACATAAAAAGTACGATCTAACTTGCTGTCCGTCGCATTTTGAGACCTGAAGGAGATTATTTTCATTGGGGGTGTCAGAGGGTTGCCATGACAGCTGCATTTATCCGCACATAGAATACCAGCATCCCCTGCCTTGAACTGTGGATATTAGAACACATGGGGCGATGGCACCAAAACAGAGGACAACAAGGGCAAAATCTTTCACTTTAATCAGAGAGATCCAGGAGCCTTGCAGCACTAGCAGCCAGTGGTGAGCTACGAAATCAGAACAATTTTATTTTTATGAGCGACGACGTGAGACCTTGAAAGATAGGACAACGCTTGACAAAAAATGATGCATCACCCGGAAGTGTGAGTGCATTGTGGGGATAAGAATTAAACTGAGTACATAGTAACGATTTCGCTCTTAAAAGCAAGATAAAGGGATTGCAGTCCTTGCTCCCACACCTCTCATCGTTCGTCATTGTGCCAAAAGACACGTGGCCATCACTCATCACTGTAGACAACAAAATAGGCGCAGAAGGTATAATGCTTTTCAGAGAGAACCAGGAGGGAAGGGGGAGGCGAGTTCATATTCGTTATAGTTCAGATTAGGTCCACTGGTCGTAGGCCATGAGCTATGAGAAGACATAGGGTTGGACACCAACAATTTAGAGGTATTCGACTCACTTCATAGACAGCTCAGTTAAGAGAAAGTGGGCAGCATACAGTTTTTCAGATATCCTACAGAGCATCAAGAAACTTAAATATTGTCTTAATCCAACTAAAACCAATCTAACGAAACCCTGTCTAGAAAGTCATCTGCATTAGAGCTTTGATTCTGGAACGCAGCGACACAGACTAGTGCACTCACCCCACTAGTCCCTTCAAGCATTCGCTGTGCAATCAGATGCTCCAGAGGAACTGGAAGTATGATGTAATATTTTAGACGATACGGTCGTCAGAGGTCTTAGAGCTTTCGGTCAATATCAACACTAACGTTAATATCGAAGGCAATGGAAAGCTCTGCGGACAATCAAAACTGAATCCACCACAAAGTGAACATAGCAATGGCTCCAGAAATAACAGTGCAAACAGTGCTTCTAGATATAGTCAAAGGTTTCAACCCATTGTCACATACAACTTCCGTGTGGAAAGTTTCTAAGACGCCAGGCCACAAGAACTAAAAGCCCATGGTGTCAAGAGTGAGATCCAAGCCAAGCCTACAGACTGGCCTGATATGCCTTTTTCATCAACACAGACAAACATTGATAGTTGAAGGTGAAATGACTGAAGCTGAGCTGAATTCATAGATGTGTGATCCCCTGCAAGTATGTGAAATAACATACGACATCCAATTACTATTTTCGGCCTCATCCAACTAGGACACAAAGGGATTTTACACGCAACAAAACTGCGTGCGCCCAACATGAAGATATCACTTACTGCTGCACCTCAAAGTGCTATTATACGATGACTGTTACTCCTAATTCACATGAGTAATTTACGGGATAAGCGAAGCACCTCTTTCAGTCTTAATGCTGATGACTAGAAGTTTATATGTGTAAAACTTGGGCACTGTGGTAGTAAGTAATTCCATATTAGTAATATGGAATGACTAGAAGTTGTAAGAGGATTGGGAGGCCAGAAAGCTTCTCTCACGTTGCGTGAAGGCTTGCCCAAGATGTAGGTCTCGTTCAAGTTATAACATCGTGAACTTCTTCGAAAACTAATGACACGGAGGAGAATCGACTGTCTACATGGAACTGGTTTATCACACAATGATGGGGATCAGCCTGCGTTTACTTCTGCCGAGAAGAGTGGACACTGCAAAACTAATATGGGAATCAGTTAGTCAGATTACTTAGAGGTTTATGAACATGACTTCATCTAGAAATAACTACCATGCGCCCACCTAGTACAAAGGTGGCCCCAGAATTAGTGTGCAAAGCTGGCCAAAGTATATGTGGATGATACGCTTACGAGATATTGCAGATGTTTTTGGACAAGAGAACTAATGAGAAGTTACAGGAGTATACCAACTTCTCACAATGCAACTTAGAGCAGACAAAGCTGTCATCGAGCTGAAAGTGTCCATATTATGACTTATTACGAGGACTGTATGTGTTTAGTCGCATAATCGGGGACGGCTAAATGACTGTATGTACTGTCAGCCGCTGCTAGGAAGACACCTAAGTGCTTCCAAGAGAACAGCGGGTGGTAAGACAGTGAAACAAGACTGATATGTCGTATATAACATGGAGATTATTATTTAGAAAACTCATTTTAGGAAAAAATGTCCTCTCACATGTAGAGCATCAACAGTCTCCCTCTGAAGGACTGCTCTGTCACTCCTCACTACTTTTTGTGTTGTTGATTCTTTTACGTTCTATTTGTGCATATTTATCCTCCCCTTATCCCTTCTTTTTATTTGAGTTTATGAATTTTCGTCTCTTATCTTCTTCAGCTGCACTCTGTCCTGGGTATAATCCGTCTCCGATGGCAGAGAAATCTGCCTTATAAAATGGAAAGTGTAAATAATAGTACCAGATCTACGGTAAAACAAATTATAGATCCCTGTGAAATTTACTAACACTTATTTTATTACTGCTTTTGGTGGTAAAGGGCAGAGCTCTTCAGCAATGGGGCCACTCCGTGAAATCCAGAAGCGAACAGTGAGTGGCCTAAAGGTTTACAAAAGCTTGCCAAGAATATACAAGATAGTAGACCACACACAGACATACCAAATTTCACTATTAAGAAGTCAGCATACAAACCAACTCAGTTTACGACTTTTTTGAAATGCTAGAAACAAAAGGAGCCTTGAGTGACCCTCTTATCGGAGATCCTGTGTGACGAATCTACAAAATAAGCAAGGCGGGTGTTTCTGGAGCACTTCTCGCATGGCTGAAAGATTATTTAGGCGAGAGAGAATTCTGCACCAAAGTCAACCGCATCCGATCATCCTGGCACACCTCGGCATCAGGGGTTCCTCAGGGTTCTATCTTAGGGCCGTTGATGTTTTTGATTTTTATCAATGACCTGCCCTGTCAACTGAATTGCTCTGCGCTTCTTTACGCTGACGACGTAAAGATTTGGAGAGCAATAAACTCATCGGAAGACTCCGACAGATTGCAGGCTGACCTGCAAACGCTGGGGGACTGGGCTCTGGCTAACGGAATGCCTTTCAACTTAAAGAAGTGCAAAGTAGTGCAACTTCATTCCGGCAGGTCACAGAGTGCAAATTACACCCTTGGTGGCCAGAACTTGAGTTGTGTGCCATCAGAACGCGATCTAGGCCTTATTTTAACAGAAAAGCTAGACACCAGTGTAAATTACACGAGGGACGTCGCCAAAGCTTACGGCACTTTACACTTTATGCATGGGCAACTGGGAGCTCTTACTCCTGAACTATTCCTAACGTTGTATACGACATACGTGAGGCCACTCCTTGAGGTGCATAATATCATTGCTCCTCCGCTACTCAAAAGGGATGCTAACATGCTAGAAAGTGTCCAGAGACGAGCGACAAAATGGGTGATCGGCCTCCGCAACAAATCATATGAGGAAAGACTGAAGAAATTAAGTCTTTTCACACTTAGTTACCGTAGTCACAGGGGAGACCTCATCACCGTCTATAAGATCCTAAATGACCAGGCCCATCCTAACAAGAGCATCCTGCCATTAAGTGATTATAGGCTTCCACGAGGTAACCCGCTAAGGATAGCACACCAGAGACCAAGGACTCGAGTGCGTTCACATTTCTTCTCGCTTCGAGTTTGCCGTCTCTGGAACGCTTTACCGGCGGCCGTAACTACAGCTCCATCTGTGGAGATTTTTAAGCGGAAGCTGGACAATCATGCAGAAATGCATGGTTTGTGTCTCAATGGCTTACCCTCTTAAAATTTGAAACCACATTGTCAATGGATAAGCATACAAGCTAAATCTTCACGAACCGTCCTGTCTTCTCCCACTGTACCGACTACTCTATCTTTCTTTCTTTATTATTTCACTTATCTCAACCTATATTATCTACACTACAACCTATTATTATCATTATCATTATTATTATTACTCTACTTTTATGACTATACCGAATGACCGACGGGTGTTAGGTCAAACTCCATTCACGGCAGCAGCTGAGTCCTAACATACTGCACACTACAAACCACAATCTTGACCAATCCTCGCATCACTCCTCCTGGAGTCTACCAGAGCTAAAGCAGTCGAGTGGCGGGATTTACTACGCATAAGTTCACCGAAGATCTGGAACCTCTACCTTAAAATCAAGAAGCGAGCTCAAAGAAATCATTGGTTTATACTAGCTCGTAATCAGGATATTGGATATTGGATGCATGGTTTGAATACACTAATAAAAGACTATTAGTTGTTTGCGGTATTTTGAAGTGCGTTGCTAGTGTAACGATTTACTGCATTTATTTTCAAATGGTATATAAAAAGAATGAAAAAATTAAGAAACCATCAAACGTAAATGTATTCGCTGATTTCTAAAAAGAATTTAATTAACTAGACAGGAGAAGAGAATGATTCGTTTGAATTGGAGGATATAAGTAGGAGTATCGTAAGGTAAGTTTGCTGTCAGAATCAATTTTCGAAATCTTGTAAACCACGAGTAGGAAGGAAAGTACGGATGCTTTGAGCAGAAGCAATAAGAAGTTATCTAGACATTCCAGTGAAAGTGCAAACGAACCTCAAGTATTACCTGATATAAGTGACTTTAGCTTATAGGAAGGAGCCGTGGATTTAAAGATGATACCTGGAGAGAATAGTCTTTTGAACATTACCGTATATCGAACGGACAGACTTAAAGTTTCCCCAACTATTTCCCGATTATTTGTTCGAGTTCATATTATGGATACGGAAACAGAAGACTATTTGAAAATCAGTAATAAGTAAGGATCTTGAGATTTTCCATCAGCAGTGAAGAAGTAATGGCACCTTGCAGGAAAACGTAGTGCCCATCCTACCTATTGATACTAAGGTTGTGAATACAAAGTACCAGGATTTACTTATACCAGTTTGGGACGACGTTATTTTGATAGAACAACGTTTTGATAAGATTGCAAGTAAAAAAAATTCTATTCTGTTTTTTGAAGTAAGTTTTCAGATACCCTCGTAAGCTGCATTCCGTTTTTATGAACGCAACACTGCGAAATTCCATGTGAATATGATTGTGTGTTTCAGAAAAATTCCATTCCTACAAGTAAAATTATTGTTCAAGCTGTTTTACATTGCAAATTTAACGATGTATTGTCAAATTTGTCAAACACCTATTGTCTAGAAATTTTACCGGGACAAGAAGTACTATAGTACTTCTTTTCATTATGTAATGAATAGTTTTCAAGGGCTGAGCCCTGTATTGCATATCATAGGTGGCTTGTTAGTTTCACTTCTTTATCATACAGTCCAAATTGATTCACTAAGGTCTGTGGGTGCAAAACTAGGTTTTCTCGGCATCTGTTAGTATATGCCATCCAATGTACTTTCGATAAACACAAAGATAAGAAGAAACTTTCGTGTATATATCAGTGTCTAAGAATGCTTATTATAACAACCGTTCTGGATGACCATTTACAGTAATTTTGCAAACATCCTTATATGTCAGTTTACTCCTAAATGTCACTTGTTTTAAGCCAACATAATTCAGGCCTTTCAGCAGCCTGAAAGCTTTCCTTGATTTTTCTAGAATTTTTAACGTCTTTAGTCCCTTCATTAATGGAAGTGTAGAACTTGGGCACTGTGGTAGAATGTAATCGCATATTAAATATGTTTATTTTAAATATCTCACAGTGATGCAGTATTACAACTGGATGACCTTTTGGGAGTAATCTATTGCTCATATCATATCAAAATTGATATGATTATGTGAAATAATTTATGCTGAAAATGTGATATTTAAAATAAACTTATCTAATTTAGAATTAAGTGTCTACAGTTTGCTTTATGACAACTAATTTCTAGGGCTGTCCATATTTTTGCAGTTTTCTTATTCCTTTACGTTCCCAGTGGAACATAGAGTTTCAAGCTAGAGCTTTGAGAAGGCGAAGAGACCAACAATACACTGTATTTTAGATTGTACTCGGGGGTTATCTATATTCCAACATGAATCGTTTTAAACAAAAGTCATGCACAATGTCTCTAATTACGACATCTAACAAAAAGGTGTACAATCATATTGTTACGTACTCCACAGTTCTATAGCTCAACAAGCATGAAAATGTTTTTGAAGTCTAGTTAATATACGATGTGAAGGTTTTATTTCAGGACAAACTGTGACGCAACTAGTAAAATATTATATCTCTTCTAAGTGAAACAATATATTGTCTGAACTTTTCTGTAAGAGTAATGGTGAAGATTGCGAGCAACTGATGAAAAGGCTGAGAGAAAGTGAATTCTATAAGCTTCGTCTAACCAACTAAATTAATATACACACATTCCATTGGTATAGAACAAGAAAGAGTTTGTGCAGATATTATCAATAAGAGTTAAAGAGGTGGGGAAAGTAGCAGTATTAGATGTGGATAGACTGTAGCGAAAACGACGTTAGCCAGTGTCAAAAAATGATGGCTAGTAAAGTTATCACTAGAAAAGACAAACAAATGATTACAGATAACTGACATAACATCTGTAAAAGTAGTTCAATAGCCTGGCCATAGCGACTTCTAGAAGTGTCCGAAACTGGAAGAAAACAGTACTGTCTGGTTTTCTATTGGTCCTCTAACTGATGTCAGCTTGTGACCAAACCTGCAATCAATCAAATTTCCGCAAACTGACACTAAAAAAATTTCTAGAAGTCTTTTGAATATTGCCATTCATAGACTAACTGATTCTTGAATGTATTTGATGGTACTCTGAATTGATTATGTAGCTTGAGAAGAGGCATATTTCTTTGTGGAGTCATTAGTGCTATGTCAGTGTTTAGTTAGGTGGTAGCTAAAATGAACTGACTGAATCCACTGAGCACTTACCTCGTCAAGGAATGTATCGGCTTTGATAGGTTAGTGGCTAAAAATATCTGAAAATAGATAAACAATTAGTGTTCAAATTTGTTATCCACCATTATTTGTTTACTTTCTATATGTTCATGGCAATTACTATTGACAGAAAGAAACCTGCGAATGTTTAAGTATTCACCGGCCTTTGGACTCACAATGTCACGTGAGATTAAGCGTCCGATATCAGCTTATATAACAACCTAGTTAGTTTATATATGAACTCTAACTGACTCAGATGGTTAAGTCATGCATCATTTATGATAAACCAGCTCACTTCCATCTGCATGATATTAGTTTTTGTTGGGTTGATTGAAAATATTGCTATGAGTTTGACGAACCAGTCGATATGGCTTATAACTTTGGCATGAACTAGGAAGCTATGTTCAGGATTCCTGACTGATTTTTCTTGAAGCAGATAGTTTTAATAATGTTTATAACCAACCATTATAGTTCGAATGCATTTGTTCCTAGTGTTTCATTAATTTATAGTTTCTACAATGTCTTGACTATTCGTACTATTTTGTTGGTGTCTAATCGTCATCAGTTTTAACAGCTTGAATTAACATCCTACATAAAATCCTTCGGGAAGTAAAGAAGAACTTGGCACAAAAAATACGCCTTTCGGTTGTACGCACACACTGCTTCATCTGCCAGGAAGGCTATCGAAAATTCCGAAAACTCTCACTGCAGTTTCTCAGTCGATACATTCTTGAGGAAAATTTGTGGAAAGGTTATCTTTAAGTCTGTTTCTGCTTGCTTCTTAAAAAATGTTTCAGTGGCTCAAAGTGATGAAATATACAGTCGCTTTAGGCACGATAACTAAATATTTTAATGAGCTTCCATTCAACATGATTTTTGATGAATACACCACATAGGAGAATTAAGAACAAGAAACGTGGCAGAAATTAACCACTAATGACTCAAATTATGTCTGCATAAATTATTTTCTGATATATGTATTTACAGCAAGCTAAAATAAAAAGGGATTAAAATAGGACACCGAAAAATCGTTGGATAAATTAGTCTGCTCATTGTACACTCCTTTTGTTTTAAAGGTTGAGATACTCATGATTGTTGTTCACTGTTCTGCATGCCTAAAACTGAAAGAATTTTATTTAAGGAGAAGGCAGTATACTTTAGATTTACAAAAAACGGAATCGTTTATTGAACACTCAACAGATTAAATTGTTAGTATCAATTTGCGATTAAATTGCCTTTTTAAAGGCCTCCACATAAAGTAAAAATTAAAAGGCAGTTTTACTTCAATCTAACAAATAGTACTTCTGGAAACCTCAAAAGTTCATGACGAAAAATATGAAAGCCGATAAGGAATATAACGTAACCATTTATTATTATGAGTGGTCAAATGATGTTCATAGGATCTTTTTGCCTAACTTTTAAGTTTTTTCGGAAAAATTTTCAATCCTTTGTGATTATTATAATATCACCTAGGTCATGGTTAAATCCTGAATTCACCTTCAGTGGTGCTGCATGGCTTCATGCAGATACCAAATAATCCGTTTTCTTCTGACGGCTGCTAAGTAAAAATGAAGTTGTTGAGTGGGAGAGAAACACTGAGATTTAAAATACTGTATGTTATGGCGTTAGAGCTATTCATTTTACACACTCCAAGTCTTCACAGTTGATAATTTTCATACTTAATGCAATTGATTTCCATGGCACAAATCCAAATTATTATTAAGGAGATGCTGTGAAAGGTTGTAAAATATGGAATGGTTTATATTATCCTTTCAAGCTGAAAATTCCCTTCAATACAGCAAAGTGGAAGTTGTTATTGCATTCTGCCATGTTAAGAACGACATTTATGGTTGTAGTTCCAGGCGTCACTCAGATCGAAGTGATGCAAGCCCAAGAGATTCGTCTGCAAAAGTAACCAAATTAAAAGTTTTATAAAAGAATTTATTCCATTCTTTGTAAAAAAATTTTCATTTCATGAAACGCTAGAAAGTCAAAGTGAAATCGTGAGTTGGAAAATATTTGAATCTAAAGACTGTCAGTTTATGAGATAGAGGTTATATCGGTCTGATTATTGATCATTTTCAGTTTAGTGGGAAAGCGTCAACTACCCCTTTAAACTAGTTTCATTGGTATTTTCCATTTACACAGATTCTGGATACAGCTGAAAGTATTTATGGGAACAATAGCAGTAACCATGAAATATCTACAGAAAGAAGTATTAATTCTTTCATGGTTGCATGGGCTTTCCTGCGGCTGAGAAATTCCAATGGTGAGTTAAACACAGGTCATAGAAAACAACGCTTACAATTGTACGAACCGATCATTAAGAAGTCTTTGAATTCAATAGAGAAAAAACTTGGTAGTTTACCACTTGGAAAAGTGTCAACTTTAAGTGCTTTACAGAAGAATCAACTGATGAAAAATAACTGTCCTAACATCTCAGAATATAATTCAATGGAATCAGGTTATCATTTATTATCCTGTTGGAAATCTGGCAACCGATATAGAGTACCGTATCCCTCGTCACTCTATGTGACTGTAAAATCAGTGAATAAAACTGAACGAACGAAAAATCAAATGAATGAAAAGTCACTTCATAAAATGGTGAGTAGACGTACTTAAGTTCTTTTCATCTCTTAGAATTACTAAGTAACTATGGCACTTTGAGTCACATATTGTAGTGTAATATATTAAAGTAGAATCTCCTACCCTGGTAAATCAATCAAAGTTACCACATCATCAAAAGAGAGCATTAAAATGTTAGGAAGATGCAGTAATGAACAAATGTGAGTAAAAGATAGAAAAACAGGCGACTGACAACTGATCAAAACTTCACTTTCAGGGTTTAATTGAGACAGAATAGACCTGAGGCAGTGTAATCCTTTTTGAGCCAAATGTTTGAGTATATTGACCAAACAGACTATATGCTTTCCTCCCTTTTATATAGTACAGACTATCAGTCATAAACTTCAAGCTTTGTTACAGTACTTTTATTTTTTTTTTTACAACCTAAACTTATTTCAGCTAATATCGCTGGTATTTAATTTTAACATGTCTTACGTCACGTTTTTAACTATAAATTCATATAGTGAATAACAGTAGCAGTTAAATTAAGCTTCTTAGGGAAAACTGAGGGCAAAACGAAAACAGTGAAATTCAACGATTTAATTATATTACATTAATTCTGATGTTTAGTGAAGATAGATAAGGTATCTACACTTACTAACTTCCTTCTTTCTTACTTATTGATGCTTACTCTATTTCTTAAAATTAACCGTGAATCACTTTGCTCATTTCTAAATCTAAGAGATCCGCTTAAGTTTTTGTTATTTTGATGCGTGTTGTTACCTAATTGTTCAAAAGCACATATAGGCATTAGCTGTAGACTAAGGCATGCTAATGATTTATGTTATATCTAGTGTAGCTTGTGACTTTTATACATGAATCGCTTTGACCAAATATAAGCTGTCAGGCATTCAGATGTGTCAAGCTGAAAAACAATGGTTTTCACTAAAATAAAACCAGTTAAGGAATACTTGATATTATAATATCTGAAAACGTTAATGCGTTGTTACAATATATCTAGTTAACTTCTTCAGTTAGGTCCCTTTGTGCTATGTGAAGAAATTACAGATCAAAGTTTATAATCAGTCCGTTTGTTCATTACATATGGAAAGGTAAATAGTTGCAAATAATGATACCGTAATCACAAAATCTTCATAATTGCCGTTCGTACAAATTTGTTACGAATAAATAAGAAGAGTCTGGATTTAGTAGCCACTCTCAGTTCATTCCGTAGTTACTGTTTATCTGATAAGGAAAACTCGTAGGAAAAAAACACCGAAGACAAAATTTATAACTTAGTCTGATGTTAATAGATACTGCATACACTGCATATCTGGAGCACAAATTTACTGATATCTGTGCCTAAACAAATCACTATCTCACATTTGAAATCTAACTTGCAGCATACAAAGCGCTTTTGGGCAATCTATTCTTTTAAGTTAATCTGATATGAAATTACACACACCACCATAAATAAAGTTCGCGAAAATGAAATAATACGCTCAACTGAATGATGTGAGCAACTGGCTTTAAACTAAGAAAGAGTAACGAGTAACCAGATAATGGTTATCCCTGTTACTTGAGGACAAGCAGATCAGTAACCCCAATGACCAAACAACACAGCTGGTTGTTGTGAGATGTATACAAGTACTTACATTAGTAATCACTATATGAAGCATGACTTTCAGAAATCAACTTTAGTGTAATTTTGCAATGCTTGGTGAAATGGCTGCATTGTCATAAAATATATATAAAAACTTCTAATCTCGGAAGCGGCTGTGAATATTTAATTTGAAAAGACTTCCTTGCTGACCCTTGGACCTTGGACACAAGATCGAGGAGAGGAGCAGATGTGGGTTCAGATCACTATCTAGTAGAAGGGACTTTCAAGGTGAAGCTAAAAGCCTCGAGGATACCTGGGATAGGCCACAATGCAAGTTCAACACTCAAAAACTGAAGGACACAACCACAAAGGACACTTTCACTGCAATTGTCAGAGCAGAATGGTGAAAGAGAAAATGCATCAATGCAAAGACGGACGAGAAGGAGACGCTAAGTTCAACCTACACAGCACTGGACAAGGAAGTGAAGAAGAGTGCTAGGAAGGAAAAAAGACAATTCTACGACAACCTGGCCACTGAAGCTAAGAAGACAGCAGGCAAAAGAGACCTGAGGAAATTATATCAGATAACCAAGTCTCTATCCGGGAAGAGATCAACACAAGTGAAATCTATAAAAGACAGTCAAGGGAACCCAATTACCAAGGAAGAAAGATTAAACAATGAGCGGATCACTTCAAAGGACTCTTGAACCGACCACCACCTGCAACTCATCCAGAAATACCAACAACAGCGCGTACACAACTGCAAGTTGACACCAATCCTCCAACGAAAAGTGAAGTCTTGAATGCAATCAAGCTTCTGGAAGCTGGAAAAGCAGCTGGATCAGATGGAATACCCCCGGAAGCACTGAAAGCGGACCCAGAGACGACAGCAGATATGCTGACTCCATTATTGCAAAAGGTCTGGAAGGAGGGAAAGGTGCCTACTGACAGGAGAAAAGGTTACCTCGTGAAACTACCAAAGAAAGGCGACTTAGGACTCTGCAAGAACTGGCGAGGAATCATGCTCCTGTCGACGCCAAGTAAAATCCTGAGTCGCATCATCCCGGAGAGAATAAAGGACGCACTGGATACAGAACTCCGACCAGAACAAGCTGGATTCAGGAAAGGCAAGTCATGTTCTGACCAAATTGCAACTCTACGCATCATCGTCATCGAACAAAGCATGGAATGGCAATCAAACCTCTACCTCAACTTTATAGACTTTGAGAAGGCCTTCGACAGCGTTGACCGAAAAGTAATTCAAGCCCTATGTTTCACTAGGAAACCAAGAGAACAATAATAATCCTTGCTGACCTAGTGGATATCATTAGCTTTCTGAAGTTTGTATATTTGTTTATGATTGGCAGCTAACACACACATGATTAATAATGCCTGCTTCAAAATATACTTCTCCCTTTTTTTGAAAAATAATAGACTAAACTATCTGAACAGCCTCCTACACTAAGTATGATCGATCTGAATGAGTCAGGTGTGCCAATTATTAACAGCATATCGGACAATGATGAAGATGCCACGAATGTTATGAATACTGAAATAAGTGAACTAATGGAACTACAAAATTCTTGGCTTCGTAGGTCGAGCCAGCCATGTCGTATTCCAAATAAACTTGTTGGCTATGGAATTACAACGCATATGCATTTGAATAGTGATAATAATGATTTATCAACAGACAGAACATCAAAAAATCAGAATCTTCTACCAATGACAAAATCTTATGGTGCTCAGTGTTTATCATTTTCACCGGATGGCAAATGGTTGGCGGTCGGAGTTATACGACACTTCATGCCAAGTGGTACAACTGGATATTATTCAGATAATAAATTAAACAGAATGGATTGTTCTATTTTAATTTACAAGGTTAGAAAATGTTTAAATTCATTTCAGGCTATATGTTTTGATATATTTAAACCATAATTTTGTAATTTATCAAAAGTAACATGAAACTTAGAATTAATATTTATTCTGAAATATAATTTATGCCTTTGAAGTACATTCCATACCGAAAGAATATTAGCTGTTGCATTTACAATTGTTAAGTATAATTTTAAATTGTTTCATTTTCAGTAGTTACCCACATCCTCATTTAGATTATTTTCTTTTCGGTTTTAACACTGTCCTTTTAAAAGTTCCCGTTTAGTGGTAAACGCAGTCAGCCAACTTTGGAACTTGCGGGACATTCAGATATAATCTATTCTCTAGATTGGGCAAAGACACCTATATTCCAAAATCCAAATAACAAAGTTGATGAAACATCTCCAAGAAAAATTTCTGGTGATACAAAAGTATTTTGGATTCTGGCGTCTGGTTCAGCTGATGGAACTGTACGTGTATGGAGATTACATCTTACTAAATTATACAGAAAAACTGTTGGTGAATATATTCCTGTTTCGTATTCAGACACTAAAACTACCCGTGAATTAACTTCAGCTCCAATTCAAGTTGGTCAGATTATTAATGGATCATCTCACAAGAGAGGTGTTTTATGTAATGTACTTGGTCATCCAAACTTTGTTTACAGTGTAGTATTCAAACCTACGTCTACAGAACTAGATGGACAAGAATTTCAAAATATTCAAACTTTGTTAAATCGTGCACATCTGCTCGCAACAGGATGCTACGACCGTAATATTCGACTGTGGAGCATTAAACACAGTCAAGCTCAGGTAGTTATTGCGTTTTAAGTCTAATTCACATCCTTCATTTTCATTGTACGGAGGTCTTATTAGCCCCTATCTAGCGTCTGACTCACCGTCATCATCCAATCTAACAGAAGAACATTCACAAAGGAAACAGCTTATTTGTAGAATTTTAAACTATACATTTCAGGAAAAATTAAAAAGACGGTTGTAGAGAAGACAATCTTCTTCTCGACGAAGTCATCAGCTAGGCCGAACACTTGTAAATAGTAAGCGGATGAGAAACCGCGCCCAATTAAGTAGCTCGCTAGTTTTCTAGCCGGACCCAAACCGCGGTAAAAAGGGAGGTTTGGGGGTATGGCCAGCGGCCCTAGACCACAGCAACTTCAATGTACAAGAAAATTATCAATGCAAAAGACAAAAAAAAAACATTTTCGCTGGAGTCGGAGAGGCGAGGTGACGAGGTTTGGTGAAAGCATTCAAGAAGCCAGTCACCCAGCTGATATGTCTTCTCTCGATGAAAGCGAGAAGAAGAATGGAGACGTGGAATGTCCGCACAGTGTGCGAGACTGGCTAGGTAGCCAAAGAAATGCGAAGATATGGCATAGAAGTGCTGGGTATCTGTGAGAGCAGATGAATGGATGTCGATTATCAAAATTATCAACTGGAGAGTCAGTAATCTACTCCAGTGTGGTCACCTAGACGACAACCACGAGCACACTGAGTGGTTATCATGATGTTGCTAGTGGCAGCGAAAGTCTTAATGCAGTGGGAACCAATTTCATCCTGCGGTATCATGACAGCAAGATTCAATTCAGAAGGAAGGAAGGCAGGAAGGTCACAATTATTCAATGCTACACACAGTGCTATAAACAACGTGAGACAAGAAAAGAAGGGGGGGGGTTTACAGACAACTACAAAGAGTAATGGACAACATCCCAAATAGTGACATCAAAATCCTTATGGGCGATATGAATGCCGGCTGAACTAGGAGCAGATAATGCAGGAAGAGAACTCATCATGGGTCGAGAGGCTCTGTTTCGGCGAAATGAATGAGAACGGAGAATTATTCACAGACTTCTGCACTTTCAATGATCTGGTGATCAGAGGGAGTGTGTACAAACACAAGGATATACACAAAGCAACATGGATTTCGCCTGATGGATACCCTACAAATCAGATAGACTTCATCTCAAAATTGCCCAAGGAAATGGAGACGCAGCCTGCTAAATACAAAGTCGAGAAGCGAAGTAGATATGGGCGGGTTCAGACCATCATCTAGTTCAAGGAACCTTAAGGGTGAAGCTGAAATCCTTCAGAACAACTGCAGACAGACCACTGTAATTCAAGTTCAATATTCAGAAACCTAAGGACAAAACTAAAAGGGATGCCTTCACTACAGATATCAGATCAGAGCTAAGTCGGAGACACAACGTTGCATTATTGAGGAAATCTGCGTGGAAGAATATTGGAACTCTTTGAAGTTTTGTTCAAGGAAGAATGTTCCACCACCGTTTAATAAAGACAGAAGGGAAAAGACAAGGAATGGCTCCCAACGGATACCTCCAAGCTAATCGAGGAGAGGAGGATGTTTAAAGAGAAGATAACTCAATGCGAAGATGGACAAAAGAAAGAGAAACTGAGTTCAATGTACTCTGCTGTGAATAAAGCAGTAAAGAAGAGTGCTAGGAAAGACAAACGATAATTCTACGACACACTGGCTGGCAATTGAAGCAGAACAGGCAAGCCGCAGGTAAAAGAGATCTCAGAAGATTGTATCAAATAACCAGGTCTCTATCAGGAAAGACCTCAACCCAGATGATGAAACCAATGAAAGATGTTCAAGGGAACCTGATCACCAAGGAGGAGAAATAAATCAAACAATGGGCTGATCACTTTAAAGGACTCTTTCACAGACCATAACCTGCAACTCGCTCAGAAATATCATCAACAGCACTCACGGAAATGCCAGTAGACACTATTCCTCCAACGAAAGAAGAAGTCCTGATTGCGATCAAGCTACTGAAGTCCGGAGAGGCAACAGGACCAGACGGCATTCCTCCAGAAGCACTGAAGATAGTCCCAGAGATTACGGCAGATGTTCTCACTCCATTACTGCAAAAAAATTGGAAAGAAGGAAGGCTACCTCGTCAAACTGCCGAAGAAGAGCGACTTAGGCCTGTGCAAGAACTGGCGTGGAATAGTGCACTTTTGCACACCTAGTGAAATACTAAGTCACATCATTCTGGATAGAGTAAAGGATGCACTAGATACAGAACTCCTCCCGGAACAAGCTGGATTCAGTAATGGCAAATCATGTTCTGATCAAACTGCAACTGTACGCGTCGTCACCACAGAAAAAAGCATAGAATGGCAGTCAAACCTCTACCTCAGATTCATTGACTTCGAAAAGGCCTTCGACAGTGTAGACTGAGAAGTACTTTGGAAACTACTTCAATACTACAGCATACCTCAAATTTTTGCCAACTTCATTCAACAACTGGCTATATGACAATGCCACGTGTCAAGTGATTCACAACGGAAAACTCAGCGAGGCTTTCGATGTGAATACAGCAGTAAGACAAGTCTGTGTTATCACAGACGTTATTCTTAATTTTGATGGACTGGATTATGTGTCAGACTGTTCATGGGAGTGAGAAGACAGGAATACGCTGGACCACCGATAAGAAGACTTGAGAAGATCTGGATTTCGCAGATGATATATGTCTAATGTCACACAAACTCGAAGACTTACAGGCGAAAACCAACAAACTAGCTGAAGAAGTAGGCAGGCAGCTAAGATAGGACTCTAGGTGAACATAGAGAAGACGGAGGTGACGAAGATAACCAACCACCACCAACAGCAACAACAACCAGCACCAATCTCTAACAACGTGAGAGATTTAACAGAGGTTACTTCCTTCACTGATCTTGGCAGCATCGTTTCAACTACAGGCAGTCGGAATGGACGAAGATGTCAAAGTCGGAATGGGAAAGGTGAGATAAACCTTCACTAGCCTGAAATCAGTTTGGAAATCTTCTCCACTCAGCATAAAAAACAAGATTCGAATTTTCAACACCAATGTGAAGTCGGTTCTTCTATACGGGTCAGAAACGTACAATGAGTGTCACGAAAAGGATTTCCAACAGCCAGTTGAAGACTTTCATCAACAGCTGTCACCTTCGCTGGCTCCATACAGAAGATCAAATGGCTAGGACGAATAAGCAACAAGAAACTATGGGAACAAACCAACCAGTAGCTGGTCACGCAACAAATATGTAGAAGAAAGTGGAGATGGATCGGGAATACATTGAGGAGGCCACCGAAAGACACCGCACGCTAGGCCTTCGAGTGGAATCCAAACGGGAAGCGACGAGTGGGTCATCGGTGCGAGGGTGACATGGAGGAGATCGTGGGAGAAAGAGATGAGAGAGTCTGGTCAATCGTGAACCTAGCTGAAGAGGACGGAAGAAGACAGAACCAAGTGGAAATATATTGTTGAAGCCTTATGTTCCACTCGGAACGCAAGGGAATAATAATAAGCGGATGAGAAAGTTTCAGAACTACTTCCGTTCGGGGGTCAAATCAGCAAGATTAAAAATAGGGATTAGAATTTAATAAAAACAAAATAAACTGGAAGGTTGGATAAATACATAATGGGATGGTAATTACTGAGAATATTGACTTTTTGTGTAATTAAAACATAGTAGTGCAAATAGGGATTAGAAAACTGGAAATAGTTCTGGAACTTTCCCACCCATTTACTATATATGTATTAATGTACCTCTTAGTTTATGAATTCGTCGAGGCGAAAATTCTCCTCGCTGCAACCGTTTTTACCATTTTTATTTTGATTTTGATTATTTTGATTTACAGCTTGATTCCACACCGTATTTTCAGTACAAGTGTGGAATTTTCAGCATGGATATCGGTAGCCCAAATTCAGGCCGACCATAGATATCGGGTGTGCGTCGGCAGGGGATCGAACCCCGGACCATGTGCATGGTCGGCGAGAGTCCTAACCACTGTGCCACCGACGCACCATGAATATTATATCTGAGTGACAAAGGTCATGAGTCAATTCTCGGCAGACCCCTGAATAAACTAGTTCTGTGCATGTTACCAGTCGTCGACAAGGAAATCTATGGTTTGTAGGAAGTTTGTGTTTCATCTAAGAGCGAAACACACACCTTTTGGTGCAGACGTCGAAGAATTAGCTAATGAGATGTTATAGAGAAGAGTGTCAATCATTAATTTAATTACATAAACTGAAGCACTGTGACAAAGGAGACACATATTACACAACATCAGTCATGTCATCTGACAGTGAGTACACTGCGTGCTTACAGATCTTCAGAATAAGATTATTGTGATTCAAGGTTTGGCTCAACTATTTTACACAAAACTGGAAACGGCTATTCTCTAGACATTAAATGCACGCAATTTTACTGGTAACATTAATTAACCCAAAGATAAGTAATTTCTCATTTGTGTTGTTTCTTTTTTACTTATTACAAAAATGGCATTTAAAGTTGTTACAAGAACTGAATGGTATACATCAATCACATATAAACAGTTTAACATTTGACAAAAATGGATCCCATTTATATTCCGGTGATGCATCTGGTCTAATTGTTGTCTGGCAAAAGACAAACAGTCAACGCAATCAAGTTAAATCTCATTCGAAGTGGATATTTGAAAAGAAGATTGAAGTTCGAGAACTAGAGGTGAGTGAAATCATGAAAGTAATAAATTAAAATTTTGTTTCATTATTCATTATCAATTTGAAAGCTGTAAATACAAGTTTCGACTAGCCAGAATGACACAATATAGATCTAAACCGTTTTTTTAAAATTCATCATTTTAAACCCATTGTTTTATATGGATATCTCAGGACATTGCATAATAATTACGCTGTATTCGCAATTCGAATTAGTCAGAATATCTTAACTGTTGAATTTCATGTCAGTGGCTAAATCACAACGAAACTTTATCAAGGATCGATAGCTCTTAGCTTGCTTCTCTGATGAGTACACTGTTAGGAATCATTAAACATAGGTGAAACAGGAATCTAGGTTCCCTTTCAGTTTACTCTTTCCACTTGCTAATATTAACTTAGTGTATGCGAGTAAAAGTGTCAGCAATTGTAATTTTTCACACTGAATTCATTAAATGAACTTTTTCTCGTAGTACAATAGAGAAGGAAATTACTCCCAGTTATGTTGCTTTTTATTTTATTCACTTTTTTAGATGTGTGTAATCAATCACTTGGAGTTTCATCCAACTATGAATTTATTACTGGTACACACACGAGATAACTGTCTTAAAATGCTTGATTTACGATCGTGAGTTTATATAAAATATTCAGTTAGTCGCTATGACGAGATTTTCGGTGTATTTATACGAATAAAATAAAAAGAGCTTTTATCAGTTAACTAAACCTGCTTAATTGTTACCGTTGCTCATCTATACACATTATACGCATATACACTGAGTCTGTAAACGGCTTTATTTATATGACATATACTCTAGATTGCAGTATTTCAGTTTAAGTAATTTTATATTTCATCGTCTCTACCTGAGTAACTTACTTACTTCCTTTCTTACTCTGTGTTTTCTTAATTTCACGAACAAAAACTAGTGGTAATATAGGTTTTATAGTACGTAATAACTTTGTTAGTTTCTTGAGCTGCTAATAAATCATAGAATTCTAAGCATGGCTGTTTATGTGAACCTGCCTGCTTTCACCTTGATGAATACATTAGTTCAAAAATAGGAATCATGATTCCTATCAGCTGCTCTCTGATAATTGATGAAAAAACCGTTAATCAATTTTTTAAGTAGTAAAATACGATAATTTCATGTCCTACTTGTTCACTTGTCTACTGTTAACAGTTAACAAATTTTACAAACAGATGTCAGACCTGCTTAAAAAATAAAATTATAAAGATTTTGTTGCTGCAGTTATGGAATAAAACGAATACACTGATGCAGTTGACCTTTGGTGTGATACCGTGAGACAGTTTCTCTACAGTCCATGTATTATGTGTAAGACATTCATTGTATCCATGGCTAGTCAGTAAGTATAGTGTAATGAAGTATATTTTTTAGTTGTTTTTGTTTTACAAAATACAAGTGGATAAAGTGATGCTAGTTTCCGTATATAACAGTTGTGTAGTATTTGGTAACCTTTTACCAGTAGATCATGAATTTATACTGTATCAACTGCTGAGAAAATATGGGATTTCATCCACTGGTGACTCAGTTAACCAATATAATAGGCTTTCTGCTTGTCTGCTGACTAAATTCCCCCACAATATACGACAGTTCAAAGCAGCAAGGGGCTTTTCACAAAAAGATGGACTGGTAAAATGTTTCAGTAATAATGGTACAGGGCACTACAAGATGACACTATGCACTTCAGGTTTTACAAAATGCTAGGGTGAATGTTCGGATCCGCAGAAAACCTAAGTATATTTATTCAGTCAATAGGTATATCATGTTATGGATTTAAACCCAGCAGCTGAATGGCGAACGGACTGCCTTCATAACCTGGGGGTCCTGCGTTCGACTGCTAGTGGAGTCTTGAGTGCTCACAGGAGGACAGAAAGCTGTATAAACTGTTTAACGGACGCATTTCATGACAGTTGTTTTTTAGCTGCTAATGTTGTCAAGTAATGTACTTCTCCATAATACATGTTTGGAATTTTGTTTGAAGTGGTTTGAAAATTGATGCAGAAAGATTACCTCTGAAACCGTAATTTATTCTTCTTAACGGTCAAGTTTACTGTGAATTCAATAAGTGAATAATATGGGCTAGCAAATCTTATTTGCAGGCGAATATAACTAATGAGTAGTCGTGGTATATGCCGATCACCACCTTTCATGACAATGCTTTCTTTTAAATTTATGAAATATAAATGTATGTAATTATAAACTGGATGTCTTTAAGCTGAAAACCACAATCTTCATCTGTACCAATAATGAAACGTTTCCAAAATGACGTTTATTATTCAGCGTTGATATTCAAATCAGTGGTCACACAAGAATTCCATTAGGCGAATCCTAACGTCGACTGACAAATTACAGTTCATAACACTAAATGACATAATAACATAGCTTGATGACCATACCGTACCTCTAAATTATATGTCAGCAATTAGAATTAGACAGCTACATCATTTATTATCTATCGTCCTACTCTCATGATGTTTGATACCATAAACTGTTCGGGAAGATGAATTCACTCATTTTGATGTTATCTGTTATATGTTGGTTACCATTCTAGATAAATGAACAACGAAAGACGGCGGTTGGAAAAAGTGTAGTAAAGTTTAATGTAAATTAGGCCTGTTTCACATACTTCTGCTGTTATTTAACGTCATCCTAATTGCAGAGTTTATTTTTAGAGATTTCATCACGACGCGATTCCATGGAGCTTTGAATAATACAGAACTATTGCGTAGTTGTATTTCGCCTTGTGGTACATTCATTTTCTCTGGGTCTGAAGATGGAAACGTCTACGTTTGGAATGTGAATACAGGTGAGCTAAAGTATTGTTTACAGCATTTTCATTCAGTGAACCTGTTTTTTAAAAACATGGGTAAAATTGCATATAGAATTGCGTATGGAATAATAATAGTGAATCCAAGTGAATATCGATAATTTCTGGCAATAATTCCATTTAAAAAACGCTCTTATGACAGTTTTACTTCTTGTAGTTAAGAATGACTAAATACGTCTTCAATGACCTATAAAATATGAAAATAATTCAGTAAATTAATATTATATGAATACCGAACAAATATCTAAAACTATTGAACTCTGGTGGTTTGTAGTATTTTGCTAGGCTATTTGAGTAGAATGAAATAAACGCGTTCAAGACCTATTTGCCTCATGAAAATATGAGTTTTAATTATCTGGAAACATGCGTTATACAGTTAGGTATACGAAATCACTTCAGGAAGTTCATGGTAAGGGACTCTGGCTAACACAAACTTTTCTAGTTTAAATCACATAATAAAGGATAATGAATGTATTGAAATCATATATATATATATATATATATATATATATATATATATATATATATTAGTGAATAGCCAGTACATGAATCCATCTAACACAGGTTACAAAGTATGCATCAAGGAATAATGTACTTTGATATACTTCATGGAATGGTTTAAGCTGTATGATACATTATTTAGAGTAAAATACTTTCCAGTAATATTTCAATGAATTTTATTAATCCCTCTCAGGTGATCAGGTGGAAATTTACCAGAATCTTTTGTTGCCTGGCTCTGTAACGTCTATAAGTTATCATCCAACAGATAATGTTATAGCTTTTTCGGCTGTTGGACCAGATTCCCCAGTTATTGTATATGCATATGATATTAAAGGTAAGTTGAAATTTGGCATAAAATACTGCATGATAGTACTTGCTGATTTATCCATCTATCTTACTTCTCTTATTCCGTCTACTTAAACTAGAATTCTGTTTACATTTTTTCAATATTTCAAAATACCATTTTTGTTCTACATCAAACTGAACGTCTCTGACTTATATCATGTTACTTTTTGTTGTTGCACATCCAACAAGGAAGTTAGTTTGAGTTGAACTTTGTTTTTATTACAGCTTGATTCCACACCATATTTTTTTGGTACAGGTATGGAATTTTCAGCATGTGACATTGGTAGCCCAAATTTTGCAGGCCAGCCATGGATATCAGGTGTGCGTCGGCAGGGGATCGAACCCCCGACCATATGCATGGTCGGCGAGAGTCCTAACCACTGTGCCAATTGAATACGTATGACCATTCATGTATTAATTAGTACTAGTAAATGCTAACAGACCATAAGAAAATTCAGAATATGACTGTAACCAGTTTTATGTGTTCAAGTTGGTGAAGCGAAAACAAATAAGAATGTTTGTAATCTTGACAAGATTCATAAGTTAACAAATCATTTATTTAGAAAGCAAGAGGACTGAGTCAAGAAATATTCACTTTTTCATTAGATCCTCAATCCTTTTGCTTCCTAAATGTCTAAAAGGGGATCTTTTCTATACTGAGATTATTTACTTATGACATCTACGGTAGGTGTCGTTTTTCATCACTACCTTCACAATAACTCCTAGAAAATGAAATCGAAAAAGTGAGAATGTTTACTTTTTAATAAGCGAATTGTCCTGTGTAATGTCTTGAAAATGTTAACCTGAGATAGACGTTTTCAAATTAATACCTAAATCAAATATTCAAAGTCTGTGAACCCATTTTTATATAATCCAAATTAATTATGGATATTGGTTTAAGCGTTGTCTTCATTACACTTTCACGAATAATTAAGACTGGTTCATTTTTCATGCACATCTACAAAAAATATTCATTGTTGGAATGAAGAAAGATTTAGTGACTAACAACACTCTTCTTAATTGAATTATTGACAGAAGTCCCGTCTTTTTTTATTTCTGCATTCGTGTACGGTTTATATTCTACCAGACTGTGAAATGGAGGATTTCTTGTGGTTTAATTTACATCATTTATCCAAAGAGAGTACCTCATTGGGAAAAATGAAAATCGACAAAAGTACAATAGTCTGATGGATACTGACTAGCAGTGGAATCCAGGATGCGCATTTCCTCGTATTTATGACTCATCAATGGATGCACCTGGATTCCCCAGTGAGTCAGAGAGTCTTCACTGAGGCTTTAACCCGATACCCATCTTTTTAAACGCCAAAGTATTATCCACTAGACCACTTGGGAAATTACATCCAGATGACGAGGCTCAAATAGGACGAAGTGCCCACCCTGGATTCCACTACTAGTCACCATCCACAAAATTACTTCAAGTTAATCCCCAGACATCCGTAAAGCGTCTGAACTAGGAGCCAGTATGTCAACAGAGACCGGAAATTTGGGTTCAGTCAATCACCTGGAAAATACAAAATGAAATTGAAAAATAAAAACTATAATGGTAGTTAATCAAGTAAGTATTTTCAATCCTCTTGCTTAGAAATTTTTGGTCGTTACATTTTGCCACTTGTATAATACACAGAGGACAAATTTCGCATAATTGTGAACAAAGGCAATTTTCAATGACCTTCTTAATTCAACTGTAATCCTCCTGATTTCCTACAAGTGTAATAGGACAATCTATTTGTTAGTTCTCAAGTAGGCTCCTCTTTTCCCCTATAAATCTGTAATGTCCTATTGTCTTGCTGAATTATTTTGCTTATAATTAGAATGTTAACAGTGGAAATTAAACAACACTCCCTAGTCAAAGCATCTGGATTGTGTTAGATTGGATTTATTGACTAATTTTCGGGCTTCATCATTTTTCTGTTATGTGTGTGCTTACTTGTATGCATTCTGCAATATTTTCTTAAATGCATTTTTGCATTCATGCAGTGCTTTCTAATATTGGTGTCCCTGTACTAACTTATGATTTGCAATATGTTATCACTGAGGGATTTTTTCCCCAGTTCTGAGATGGTGATGGATAAAACAAAATTTCATATTTTAACCACATGCTGATATTGCTTTTGGTTTCATTTTTTAATTAGCAAGTAAACTATCACAGCCCAGATCAAAGGACGAGATATTTCAAGTACAAGGAGAGTATGAAGAGTAAGTATTTTGACTTCATTGTAATAAGTGCAATTTTATCCTAGCCCAGTTCAAAACTACGGCCGAAAAACTGCGTCAGTAATTTTAGGATCTCATTGTTACTCCAGACGATAACGGTTCACGAAATCTTCCTTAAAACCAACTAAATCTTCATGCCCCATTCTTAGAAAAGTTATATTTGTCTACTGATTGCAGCACTAATATAAGTGTAACAACAGAAGACAAGGGCCAGGCAACAAATCGTTTAATAAGGAAATCAAAGCGTATTTATATATTTTCATGTACATTATTATAGATTAGTTAAGCGAACAAACACAGTCTTCTGATTGGTTGTTTCTCACTTAAAGTTAATCTTTCATCTCTTTGTGACTCTTTCTTGAATGTCAGATCATCTATATGTTAACTGTATCCGCCTACGCAAAGTTTGCTATGGTCGGGTTTTGAATCAGTCTTGTTCATATTTTCTCACGAGCAATCTTGAGAACGTAAACATTGACGTCAATTACTGTCTACCAATTTGGCTAGTAGACAGCTCTCACCACATAAGTAATACATGCTCCTGCATAAGCTACAGTTATAATCCCTTTTTTTATTCCTTCACGTTCCCAGTGGAACATAGGGCTTCAAGCTACAGGCTCGAAGTTTCTGTAGCAGTGGTGTTTACTTTTATGGGATCTGGTTGCTAGCCTTATGCCCAACCTTCCCTCTTTGCCAGTTCTATTCCTGGCTTAGTGAGGTAAAGGAGCGTGTCGGTCAGGGATCGAATTCCGGACCATGTGTATGGTAGGCGAGCGTCCTAACCGCTGTGCCACCGACTCACGGTTATAATCCCTTGAGAATATTAAATTCAGATGATGGTTGATTTTTATCACAGTTCATTATGTTCAGTTGCTTAATTATTTTTAGTTATCACAAAGAAATACAATGGATAAACTACCAGTTTAGTGAAATTTCATGAGACAAGATTAGAACTTTATAAAGTGAGAGTCTAAAATTCTCGATGCTACATGCACAAATTTTGAAGTAGAAATCAGGTAGAAAGTGACTGAAACAAAAGAGTTTATACATATTTAAATGGCAAGGATCACAAATATTAGTGTCACCTAAGTGTATAACATATACTGGAGGAAACTAGCCCATAAAGACTTCAATTAATTTTTTCTTGAGGGTTAAGTTTCCTAGAAAGTGTGTAAACTTTATAGGTGCGTTTGATTAGACCACTTAAACTAGATTTTACCGGTAACTCCATTAAATTATTGTTTTTTACATAGAAAATGTCTCAAGTATGATGTTTTTGTTTTATTTCCATCTTTAAATTAGCAGTACTGAACCACCACCTGACATTCTGACATCTCATGTCAAGTTTAAACAACGTAGTGCAGAGAGAATTTTACATGCAATGTCTAAATTGGAAAGCGTCCTGGTTAGTTTCATCTTTTGTGTATGTTAGTAAAAACTTCTTAACATTTGTATGCATGGTAGATATCACGATAAACCTGAAACTTAAGACTGACACTACATTCGTGCACATGAAACCTATTCAACTTCTCTGTGTCAGCAAGATATACGTGTTGTAATCCATATTTGACATGAGTGCAAAATGATATATTCGTTTCCTTACAGATTTTACTTTGCTCTTACAATTCAGAAGTGTCTATTTGTTGGAAAATTATTCGCTTACACGACTCCGTTATCTGTATAGTATGTGCAGCAAACAAGTCTACAGGTTAAATTCGCTGCTAATTCTGTCTTAAAAATGTCTGATTTCGACTGATACCTGTAGCCGTCACTGTGGTTAGGAGTATTCTGAAAGTTAATATTTCGTGGAGCAAATAGTCGGTTGGTCGGTTTTAGACATAGAAGTTTGCGCATATGTGCGGCAGTTCAAGTCGCCACACTCCATGCACCACACAAAGGAAGAAAAGAAAGTAGGAGAAATGCATAATAATATAGACAGTAAACAGAGGTGTGAGACAAAGGAATAGTAATAACGAAGAACAAAACAGTTTCATTGGAAATCATGAGTCACAAGGAGTGGATGCATCTGCACCAGCCATTGAGAACGACTTTGACCTATGTCACCAATTGTTTCCAACCATTGGTTTTTACCGTCCCGAGGCTTAGACTAACTGTTGCAGATTTCATTGACTGGTGCCATGTTTTGGTTTGACCGCTGCTAGCTCTTTTCCAGCCTGACCCTATATCAGCTAACATTGCCCGTCGAGGAAGGCGATGAGTAAGTATACGTAACACATGTCTTAACCATCTCAGTCGATGTAATTTCACAGTCGTCTATTGATTTCCCCGCCTTACCTACCACCTCAATATTGCTCACCTTATTATACCACTTCACGCGGGAGATAGAAAGCAGATACCTATGATCGAAGACAGCTAATCTTTTCATGTCTTCTGCTCTCAGTGGCCAGGTCTCACACCGATGGAGGAGGACGGAGCGGACTGTTGAGCAGTACACACGCCCTTTAGTCAATAGTCGGATATCACGTCTACGCCAGAGATGGCGTAAACTGGCATGTGCGAAACTAGCCCTCTGTATTCGTGCTGAGATTTCGTCGGAGATCAACCCGTTGGGGCTGATGGTACTTCCCAAGTAAGTGAAGTGGTCAACGTGCTCTACCACTTCACTTCCTATTTCTAATCTAGGGGTCGGTGTAGTCCAATCCTACAGCATCAACTTACATTTTACAGGAGCGAATCGCATGCCAAACATGCGAAGATTGTTGCTCAAGGTGTTCAGAAGACTCTGCATATTGTCAGCGTCCTCGCCTAGAAGGACTATATCGTCTGCATATTCTAAGTCAACGAGATTATTCCCTGATAGCAAGTCAATCCCTGAGTCGCTGAAGTGTGTTAGGGCAAATAGTGAAGTTAAATCATACCCCCATATCTGAAATACTCGTAGTCGTCTCCCATTTCTGGGGATATTTCGCCTCGTAACATTGCTATAGTGTATTTTCCACTTGTCATATAAATTTCTGATACTTTCCAGAACATTAATTGGATTGTATTATTTCTTCATCAAAATTATGCTCCTTTCGTTAAGATACCGCTAAATTTGTATTAATTTTTCTTCTAAGCTTCTGAAAGTGTGACAACCTAAGCTGATTCATTTCTGCGCAAGTCTCTACGTTTACTTGTTTTTTAATGAAATTCCCGTCGTCGTCATCATCATCATCATGACAATGCTGAATTTTTTAAATCAAAAAAATTTGAATCAATAAACATCTTTACACCTAAAATGTTACACAGACAATGTAGACGTTAATGGTAGCAGCTTGTCTGAATCAAAAGAAATGTCTACTCTGCTTCTGAAACAGAGGAAATAAAATTTCATGCAGTGTTAAGAGGATGGTACAAAACAAATTATCAACTTTCTAAAAAACGGAATATTACTAATTTACACTTTTCAGTGAAATTAACGTTGACTGGCAGACTAAATAGTGCAGAAATTCGCCCAATAATGAATTAGTTTTAAGCTGCCATGCTTTGGAGATGCGCACATTAAATTAGATTGAAGACACACAATCAAACTACAGTGGATGAATATGATTATTGATGAAAGCTGAGGCTAACTTAAAAAAGAAATCTTCTACTAGAATAATATAACATGTTTTAACTTCTAGCTATGATGTAAAAGTACTTCTCAAATAATCAAAGGTTATCTAGGAAGCAGAATCTTACTAATTAAACTTATAAATGGTTTTCTTATGACATACGAATTCTGAACAACTTTTTATCTTAGTGTTCACTGTATCCAGAAGCATAGTTAAAATTTTTAATTAAACAAATGAAATGTTGAGAAAACAATGACAGTTATACAGAAGAGAAGAATATAGGCAATAACGCTTTCGACTGTCTCGAAATTCATATATGTTAAATAATCCTCCTTATGAGGAGTTTGATTAATTTTATAAACACTACGCTAAGACTTGTACGGATTTACGGATATTTAGTCTTACTTCTTATTTCAAAATATATACACAGTTATGTTTGATACAAGGTTCCGAAGGAATAATCAGCTCTGAATTAAGACGTGGATGAATTTATAAGAAATGGAAAGATTTTAACCACTAATCATCTGATGAATTAAAGTAGATCTGGAATGTTAAACTATGTTTTCATTTGTCTACAGTGTTAATTAACCTTTTGTTTTTCCCTTTTTATCTCCACATCATTTTAAACAGAATTTTTCGAAACCTATGACATACAGTTTTGACAATCAGAATAATTTACATGAGTTGGTAAGTAAAATTTATGGATAGACAGAATTCAGCTACATAAGTATTGAATAAATTAACGGGTTAAAGGAGAATATGTATTCAGTATTTTGGTTAGTATCAGACTCTCTAGTGTGACTAATACTGTTATTGTCACCCTATTGAAATGATTTCGTATATACACACTCGCAACATTTCTATGAATTACGCATCGGTTGTATTTGTCAAACTGTTTCTAGGATTAGTGCTCAATATCCAGCGCAGCCATAATGGTTGTCTCTTTTGCAATACACATCTAGCACACTATCGTTAGTCCTCCCACTGAGATAAGTAACATTATAAAACCTGTTGATAACGGGTCCTACATATTCAGTGAAAGGAAACAAAATAATGCTTTATTACCAAAAGAGATACCTTCTATAAAATCAATACCATGGCATGTTAGTTTATGTTTGTTGGTTATCAGCCTCATACGAGGACAGAAAAGCACGTGTAAGTGATATTCACTGTAGACTGTAACCGTTCAGAACGCAATATTAACATGCATGCCATTCTGTCAGAACATAGTTTTTACATCTTAAACTAGCAATTTATCAGTCTGGTAGAATAACTAGATATTTAGTAGTGATTTCTACCGGCAATGCTTTTTTTATGGAAGTAATAAATCGTTTACTTCTCAGTTAGTCTTTCTCAACGTGGGAATAGTGAAGGAGTGACTTACTGTTGAGCATTGCGGTCAGCAGTAAGAACGAATCCAAAGTCCTTGTGACAACAGCTGGCGACAACGTTTTCTTTCAGTTTCATTTTTAATATTTCAGTTGGTGGTAATTTCCGATCCTCTTACTAAGGAATTCATTTATCAGTAAGCCAACTGTGTTTTGCTCCTATCTGAAGTGTTAATTAAAACAAATGAAAACAAAACAATTATTTCAGCGAAGCGGCTGTTTCCGGAAAGCTCATTTTCTTTAACTGTACAATCGTACTTATATACAATTTTTCACCCAATGAAAAAGGATTCACCGAAAACAACCTGTTCGCTGAACTACATATTTTGTTTTCACTAATTTCTGGATGGCGAATATTCATGAATTAGCTAAAACTGACTAAGGGCATAAGATTATGTTACTAGAACATTCAGACACAAAGGGTCACTGGTGTACTAGAAATCATAATATTTTTTAACGTATTTGAACAATCTAACAAGATGTCTTAGTTATACTATCAGGCCGAAAATTCATATCTTTTAACCTAAGGAAAGTGTTAGGAGACTTGCCTTTAGGCAAATTGTTATGATCTCGTCACCAGCTGTTATGTACCTGTCGTCAGTTGATATTGTAACGACAGAAGGCGAGAGTCAGGTAACAGATCACTTATTAAGGAAATCAACGCATATTTATATATGTCTTCATGTACATTACTATGGATATGTAAACAAACAAACACAGTCTTCCGATTGGTTGTTTCCCACGACAAATCTTGGGAACGTAAAAATTGACGCAAATTACTGTCTACCAATTTGGCTAGTAGACAGCTCTCACCACAATATGACCGAGTTGGTTTATGCGTAGGTATAATAATACTGACGCAATGGACAACTCAGCTGATATGTCATTTACGGTTATCCATCCCTTAGTACCTTCCTCTTCACTAAGACAAAGACTGGCCTATGACTGTTGTGCCACCACTTTATTTGGAGAAGACAAATCATTTTTATTCATTTCTAACCATAGTAAAATTTGGCTAGGACAATAGAAAATGGACTGTTCCGATCGGTAGACAATTCAGTTAGGCCCACGGGGAATAAATATTCAGATTGGTTGGCAAGGTAAGAAAAGGATGATGAAATTTTGCGGTGATTCGATCACAAGATGATTATAATTTTTAGCGGCATCCTATCACATATAGTACCACATAGCGATAGTAATACTGAAGTAAATTCCTTCATCAATATTAACTGCCACCCGTGTGAAATTTCAGTGCTTATTCAGCTACAATCACCCAATAGTTTTATGTGTATTTATGTGTTATGAGTGTTAGATACGGTAGCTAAAATAGTAAGGAAGTAAAATAAATTCATTTTTGTGTTTTGAGTAACTTACAATAGACATTTTCATGTTTGTATTTCTCAATGAATAAGAAACAAAACAAGATTAAACATTTGTAAAATATTATTTTTGTAAAATCTCAGCGAGATTGAAATGAGTAATTCCAACGTTTCGTTCGGCAATCTGGTCCGAACTTCTTCAGGAAAATTAGTCGAAGAAGTTCGGACCAGATTGCCGAACGAAACGTTGGAATTACTCATTTCAATCTCGCTGAGATTTTACAAATATAATTTTTTACAAATGTCAACTTCTCACTCGGCGCCCAAATATTTTAGAACTATTCTGTCAAATCTTGACGACAGTTCATTTGAATTGTTTTGCAATCGAATAAAAACAAGGTATTTTTTACAGCTTCATTTCAAAGCTCCTAATAAAACCAACCTTAAAATAGAAAAACTCCACAAAATCCAACATCCTAATTTCACTTGAATTATTCTGCTTGTTTTTCTGCTGTCACTTTTTCAAAGTTTATTAAAAAAAATATATTATGCATGAAACTGTTTTATTTTCCTGTCGTTTCTCAGGAATGGAGACCAACATACACTGTAATCGATGAGGTAAGGCATTTGCACTACTTACTTGATTTTTTGCTTTGAATCCATTCTAGTTAGACTTAACACTATGTAGGTGGAATCACTGTCGTTATTCTTATGTGAATCTTAAGTCCAAGGATTGCATAAATGATTTCGTGTGTGAACTTCAGTGGGCACTATTACATTGTAGTGAGATATCATCCGAAATTCTTTGAATTAATTGTCTTACATTATTTGTCAAATCCGTTAGAATACTGACTGAGACCTATTCGTTGATGATATGTTGGATGTTTCTAATATTACACGCTACTTCAATTTCTGCTTGGAGGTTTGTTTTCCCTATGAAATACTGTTTACGAGATTTGAAAGGATCTTTTCTTTGGAACCTGAAAAGCTATGAAGAGAAAAACGGATTTTTTATAAATCATACGATAATACTGGTGTTCGAAGAATGAAGTGTCTAATAAAATGTAAAATACAAAGACTAGATGGAATATGTAATGAAAAAATTTGTCATGTAAACATGCTTCCAAAGTTTGAAAGCTATTTAGTTAACTTACAGGCAAAAAATTATGTTGATGCTTATTTTGATTTACATGCCTTAAGCCGATCTTCTCTAAGGCGACAAGCTAATATGGTTATACCCGATGCCTCTAGTCACACGAATGACTGTTTTCCAGGTTTTGACGAAAAGGATGTATTGACATGTCATATATATTAACATCCGTCACACGACCTAGTTCCTGATGGAGTATCAGGCATTTTACTTCAAAAGTGTGTAGATATTTTGTGTTGTCCTCTTGCACAAACCTTTAATGCATCATTTCACAGGGATACTGCTTGGAAAGAAATAAAGATTTCATATGCACCAAAATCACCATCTTCTGGGTGAGAGTCACAAGGTGATTGTCTTCCTATTTTTCAGGTAGGAAACAACACACCATTTTCGGTGAGAAGCGCTCCACTTCTTTGTTTACAGAAGCCTGTGTGCCTCGAGGTTCTATATTTTCTCCATTTCTTTTTCCTTTCTGTTTAAATGACTTACCGTATTTTTTAATGCCAATCTCATTAAATATGCTGAGGATATGTGAATTCCTGTCCCCGTAGTTTCTGCATAAGACTGTTGTGACATGAACAGTTAACCGATGATCCTAAACTGAATCCCTCTAAATGTCAAACTTTTGACCTGGGTTTCAGACATGAACAAGACTTGCTTGGACTGATTCAGTCCCATGATGTCAAAGGCACTGTAATCGGAAATAAATCCAATATAACGTATCTTGGTATCATTTTTCTCTCTAAATTTTTGTTCATCGTCTCATGTCATGGTGTTTTTTAAGAAAATCTTTCGTTTGACTTACTACATGTCTAAATCTCATTTAAAACTTTATAACAATTCTTGATATTTTGTCTCCACTTTAAACCTTTTCAAATGTTACTGATAAAAACTTGAAATGGGGCACCATCACTGGAGGTAAATTGAAGATTTTAATGTGAAGTGGGATAACATCACAGTACAGAGCTGACGTTTCGCACGAGTGGAATTCGGAATTTGAATAATTGGTCTGCTAAACCATCCTAGTTACTTTCTTATTACGATTCAGTTCTCTTAGATAATTTTTTCTACTTATTTTTCATTGTCAGTTTTCTATTAATTACTTGTTTATATCATCTGTTCAAAAATAATAGCGATTGTTGACCTAAACAAACTTTTGAAACCAAATGCATTTCACTTGGAAGCTACTTCCATGTAAGTCTTTGATTTGAACAAAGCTAAGCATTTTAGTGCAGTTAAGAATTCCCGTCAATTTCCTGCTAAGATTACTCATTTTTAATTTCACATGATTTACAATCATTGTGGTACTTCCTTCTGTATCGATTCACAGGCTGTAGCCAGATACATTTTTTGAAGTCATTGTCAGTAGATACCTGCCATCGATTCCCACTGCCTTTTTTCTACCTTTTTAAAGGTAGACTTCCACTCAAGAGATCCCTTAATTGACTTCGTAATGAACCATTGTGCGTAAACGCTGATAGGGCACTAGGTTTTCTAAACATTGGTTTACAAAGTGAATGTATGGCTTCGACATCTCATTTCCAATTTTTTACTTCAGAATTGATTTCAATCAAAGGTTTATCTGACAGGCTTCATCAGAAGTGGTGGGTTGTTGACTGGTAATATCTACACACAAATGCAAGATGCCTATTTGACTGAATGAACCTTTTCATAACTCAGGGGAAAACTACGTCGATTCATATGGCTTGAACATACGTTATGCATGCCTACACACTACCTTCGTCAACATTTTACATTAGTGAAAGTAGTCAATCAATTCACGAAATCATTGATTGTCGGTCATAATCAGTCCAAGCTGACTAGATTTACTGCTAGCTTATCTTGATTATAATTGTTATATCAAAATTCTACATTAACTTCAGTTTCTCCTTTTATTTCAAAGCAATATGTGACTTTTTCTTGTGGGATTTTCACTTCTATAGAGTCGTTTTATATCTCCTACTTAATATTCAGGTGTCAGGTGTAGCAGGTCAGGCAACCATGCACCACCACTGGATCCTATCTTGTCTATCTGTTTTAAGACGCAGTTTTATAAACTCTTTTACTTACAGAAAGCTAGATCATAAAGAAGCATTAGTAGATAAATTTGTTAACCCTCAGTGATTCAGGTGACTAGAATATTGTTTGCACTGTCTTCTTCAACGAATAGTGTTGTTTCAAGTAGTATTAGGTGGAAAACAGCTGTAGACTGATCAAACCTTCGTAATGTTAAAAAAATATAGCAGGCTGGGGGAAGGGATTGATAACGGAAGCTCTCTTTATCAAATCAGCTGAAACTACGTGTAATGGGGAAGATTCAACACCTGTGCCAGACATCTGAAAAATTCCACTTCTCCTGCGACAAATAGGAAATAATAAAAAAACTATAAAACGAAAGTATCGAAGACGTTTGGTTAGAATTGATGTAATTTTGAACAATAAATTTTGTTCGAAATTTTGTCATCCAGTAGATAATACTGTTTCACAGTGTGACATATCTAATAAGTGAATTAATGTGGAATTGAAAACTTCACCCAGTCTAACTGTTATCTTTGGGATATGAAAAATCAGTCACTTATTCTACCACTATTCTACTTCTACTCACTTCAGTGTAATATGTCAGTTTGCGATGATGCGCTTCTTTGTAAGTAATGACATCAGTCTACTACCTATCTTTGGATTCTACAGAGGTAATGAGATCAAAGACACCATTGAAACAGACGTTGCGTATGAAATTTTTACAGCATGCAATGCATCATTTGTATGTTTTTCTGAACCATTTTGTTAAATATTTTTAAGAATTGAAATCATCCACAGTGTGTTAACTATTATGGTTAAAAAGCAAAAAAATAACTGAATTTTCCACTGTGATAACTTTGGACTCATTAACCCCTTAATGGCGTTTTTCTCTTTACCGACAAATAGACTTCTAATCAACGAAATTTGGCAAAAAATTTCGATTCAACATCTGCTTCTCAATCACAACTGCACAGGTCGGGAGGGAAAGCAAATTTATTCACGGTTTTATACGATTATCAGGCTCAGAGATCTGATGAACTGAGTCTTAATCGTGGTGATATTGTGAAAATATTGTATAAAGATACCCCTAAATGGTGGATGGCAAAGTTGATTCGTACTGGTCAGGAAGGATTTATACCTGCCAGTTATGTGTCAGGTAATTTTTACACTATCATTTATTTTGTGACACTACTAGTGCTTAAATGTATTCTTTAACGACTGAATCAGAATGTTTAGTGCGTGAGTAAGAAGCTTGTATTTATATATTTCAATAACAACTAAGATACAAGGTATACAGTATTCAGAATCTTACCAACCTTTTCAAATAAATGCACTAGAATGATGTATCCATACTGCGGTATATTTATAACCTCAAGCCTTTCAATAGTCTAGCAGCACAGCGCATACTGCCTAACAGAGGTTCTAATTCACCTTTTTTGGACTATAACAATTGTCCACGAAATGATTAGGACAACAATTTGAGTATCAAAAAACTCTGCACGAATTAATCAAACGAATGGGTTATCCCAATCTGTACCAAAAATGTAAAGGACAAAAGGTTCTTCAACAGATTCTACATAAATGTTCACAGATGACTGAATTCATTAGTGTGTTATTCGAAATACACATGAAAAGCAGAAGTTTATTCACTGAAAGATTAAGTACATTTAACATACCCCAATGGAACACAGGGCTTCAGGCTAGAGGCTTGAAGATTCTGTAGCAGTGGTGTCTATTTTTTACGGGATGGGGTTGCTAGCCTCATACCCCACCTTCCCTCTTTGTCAGTCTTATTACTGGCTTAGCTAGGTAAAGGAGTGAGTCGGCCAGGGCTCGAACCCCGGGCCACATGCGTGGTCGGCGAGCATTCTACCGCTGTGCCACCAACACATTTAACTTCAGCATAAATAAAATAAATAAATAAGAAATTCTCAGGCATTAATTAATACCAGAAGTAGAGTAGTTTTCTGATTTACTCGAAACTGACATGAATACTGTATATAAATATATATATATATATATATATATATATCGTTAAATCCAGGTTGTCCGTTAGTCGATACTTTTCTGTTAAGGGTGATAAGAACGAATTAGAGGACAGTGCAAACTGGCACACCGGAAACTTCTTTGAAGGCTTCAACCGTCACCAAAACATTTTAAGTTGTGTTAGTTATGGTGTGTTAACAAATTCCAATGATAGTCTCTTACATGAACACCAAACGATATCGTCTCCTTTCGCTTGTGTAAAACAAGTCTACTCAATGACAATGATTTATTACTGAGTTTTGAAAGTGATCACATCTGCTACAGTTTTTATTGTTTTTACTGATTATTTTGAAAAATAACAGTTGTGTCCACAAACTTCTTATTACTCTGAAACAACAAACAATTTAATCTTACATTTCCAACTAACCAATCAGTTCTTGATTAGAAATGAAGTATAAGCTCATGTTTATTAATTCATATGCAATGGTTCTAGTCGAATTAACAGAAAAGATTCAGATAAGCTTTAGTATGATAATGAAAAGATAGTTCTATGTCTTTCATTTCCAAAATAATACGTGTAAAGTCGAACTTCCACCCGTTTGTCAGTTGTATCCTCCAGTTTGGTCAACTAGTTATGAGGTCGCATTTTTAAGCCCGTCTGCCTGAGTCATTAAATGGTTCGTTTCTTCATTCAAACTGAAACACTGTCTTCGTACATTAAGTTTTTTTTAAATAGTTGAATACCTATCTAGTCTCCTGGTAATTGGTGTGGGCTTTATTGTGATGTTCAATTGTAACTGAATTCTATAACATCCATGAGAAGCATGCATAGCAACAGATAAAGATCAACTATGTAACAACAAAGTCTCTTTAAACTATTTTAGAAGAATTTTCCGGTGAAGTAGACGCCAGTAGCCGCCAAACAACATCAGTAAATACAGGAAAGCAGTATAATGCGTTAGGAACAAATTTAAATTCGCAGTCACAATTTCCTAGTGATGAAATAAACCGGTCTGAAATGGTGCAAAACAACAACCTTCCACCAAGGTATTTCAACAAAGTCGGCAGCAGTAACTATGATTCAGTGGATTCCCAAACAAAACCACGTACAAGCAGTAATTCAGATGAACAATCCAATGCAACTAATCTAGGTTTAATGAGAAAACGTAAAAGTTCTGCAAGACCGTTACCTACACTGAGTTAAATACTGACAGATACCTTAATTGTTCCAGATTTCTTTGACTTCATATACTGAAATTAATGCTCACCTGGCTTTTTTACATATCGATAGTGTGATCTTTTTTTAAAAAGAATGTTTTCATTACTATTTTCTCTCGTTTTCATGATTTAAAATCGATGCAATTTCAAAATTCTTTAACTTATCACAAATTAGATCAAATGAAGTACATAGTGGTATTTAACATATTCCTAACTGAAGCTACACGGTAGGACGTGGTAAATTACCGTTTTACTAAACTTAATGAACCTTATTTTTTATCATGAACCCTAAGTCTACGTCATTGTGATAAAACGAAAAGCGTTAATTTCAGTCAAAGTGCCTTAGACTTCGTGAATCATTTTCTGTTGCAGATGTTTTACCAATAAAATGGCAACGAAATCAAAAACATAGCTGCCTAATAATTCACACAGTAATACAGAAATGTAAGTAGTCACACCTTAAAGCACTACAAGAAATATCAAAAAGGAAAAGAATGATATATGTAGGGATATATCACAGACAAAGACGGGTGCCATGTGCTCGGAACACAATGGGTAGTGTGCGCTTAATACATTTTTCCCATTAATGAATCTAAATAAAGCAAGAATAACGGTTTGTGGAAAATAAAATGGTACCATCACTTATTTGTTTGGCTTCTCATCAGCTACATATAGCCTAAAGACATCATTAAGTTTATGTACATAATAATTTTGACATCCTTGCAAATGTTACATGATATCAGTTGACAGCAGTCTCAAAACTTGATAAACAGTGCTCATAAAATTACAATTATGTAGTTTTTGCCCAAAGAGTTCAAGGTTAAACGAAATAAATATTTGCATACAGGAGTTGCGTAATTAAGCTAAGATGTAAGATGATGAGTAATTAGTAAATTTAGTAACGGTAGAATGAGTTCAACTCAAATCATAGACACAAGAGACAAACTAAGCTACACTGTATCTGAGGGGCGTGAAGTTTCGGCCGAAGATTACGCAATCAAATGGAAGAGATAGTAAAGACATTCAGCTACTAGGGGTAGGAACACATAAGTCGGCTTTCAGGCGTTCGGTAGGAATAGCTTCGACAAACCTGAAGACAGAATTCAACTATTATTCCCACTAATTATTTTAAAATATTTCGCGATGTCCGCCCTATGGACCGCACTGATGAGATGTCTGGTAATGGTACTATTGTAAGCATTTATTCCCTTGAGAAGTACGCTGTTTGGTACACGTTCATAAAATCGAAGGTATGCCCTTTTTTCTCTTCTCCCCATGTAACTGCTACCTCAGATACGTATAGATTTGTATACACGAAGTTAACATGAGAAGGGTACCTACCGACACTGACTGCACCAGAGAGCATGTTGTCCTATACACGAAAACAATCTCAGCTGCAGGACAGGTCCTGGCTAATTACGTATTCAATCTTCTGTTGACTATTCCTGAAATTGAATCACCTCTAAATTCGAGTTGAATGAACACAGGCTTTCCCCCACTACGATTTGTTTGGCATTTGAGCCTTCAAATCTTCCGTACTTGCTGGTGAATTTCTGAAGGGAATCCGTTGTTTTTCATCATCGTTTCGTGAATCAGAAATTCTTCCTGTAATTTTCCCCTAGAGCACATTCTCCTGACTCTATAAAACAGAGTTTTAACCAGTGCTCGTTTATAACTATTTGGATAAAAACTATTAAAATGTAAGAAGTGTCCATTCCATGTAGGCTTGCACTAAATTGATCTCTGGAGATTACCATCTTCGAGGCATTGCATGGCAATACCAAGAAAATGAAACTTTCCATCATTTCCATTGTAGTGGCAGGTGATTCTCTATAATTATTAACCACAGCATTCATCTCTGACCATTGGATGATGACCCTCGCCGTTTAAGTCAACTTGTTTAGCTGAAGGCTTACGGTCATGCAACCAATCCATATGGCACGCCATCGTGTTACGTTCGTTCGTGCGTGATCCCTAGCTAGTTAGGCAATCATCTCGCACTCCGATTTAGTCCCGGGATATAATTCGTAATTTGGCCAATCATTTTGGTGTTTTGCTTCGCCTTTGGTCTACGCGGAACGAATACTCTAGAAATTGCGGGTATTAGATCTTTCGTTAGTATACTTCGTACTATCCGTGAACGTCAACACCCTCAGCCTCTAAACTGGTGAGCCCTATCGGGAAATTTATCCCTGGTAAACACGCAAACAAATCCAGAGAGTTCGTTCCATTTAGTATTTGTTCTTGCACTATTTTTGAAGTATATACATTTCGCTATAAGTGACCATACGCCTAAGGTCATCTGTATTCGATCAACTACCAAAACTATTCAGCTCGTGCCATTTTGGCCAGATAATGTGGAATCATGGTTTTAGATAGCTGAGTTTGATTTTAGGGAACATGGGTTGACTAATCAACGTTCACAGTTCCTTGCAGTTGTCTACGCCCTACCATAGGAATTAAGCAAATGCGTAACTATGCATATATCAAGCCCAGAGGTAAGTAACCCGTATGAGGTGCTTAAAGCAGCCCTCCTAAAGAGAAAAGACCTTGCGGATTGACAAAGTCTTGACGAACTATTTCGCAACGTGGAGTTAGGCGATCAGTTGGCTGTGAGCGTGCTAACGAGAATAAGGGAAGTTATCGGCCAACGTCAGTTCGATGAGGGACTTTCCATAGAACTGTTGTCATCCAAACTGCCACGGTCAGTACAAACTGTGCTAGTGACACTTCAAGGTGTTATTATAGATGACTTAGCTACCCCTGCCGATAAAATTCCAAAATTAACAACGGCAATTTGCTGAAATATGCTCGATTGCTGAGCAGACTTCGGGCAGGGACACTGAAGTGTTAGACTTATGCAACTCCGTCCAGCAGCTATCTAAGTCAAATAGTCCCCGTAATTCCTCCTATCGTCGTCCAAACTCTCCCCAGCGGCGAAACCCACGTTGTCAATCTAAATCCAAGCCACGTTCACTTAAAAACCCTGACTGGTGTTGGTATCACAATACCTATGGCCAGGAAGCGAAATGTTGCCGAAAACTTTGTAATTTTGGCAGTGACTCGCACCGGCACGCGTTAGCGGCAACCGTCGCCGGTGGCACTAGCCGCCTACTTTACATTCGTGATGTAGTCAACCACACCCGGTACTTAGTCGACACAGGCGCCGAAGTCAGCGTCCTTCCTGCTACAGCAGCAGATCGACAGAAGGAACCTACCTTCAAATTATAGGCTGCGAATGGAAAGCCTACTGCAACCTTTGGTAGGAAATATGTCTATTTGAACATAGGTTTACGCGAACCTATTCAGTGGGTTTTCCTTCTCGCTGACGTCACAATGCCTGACTCACTTAACCATCATGATCTGCTCGTAGATGTCCTCCAAAAACGACTGAAAGGCGGGACTACTAGACTATCTATTAAAGGTTTAGGGGCTGCGGGTATCGACGTTCGCGAGTTGTACGGATTATACTAACGCAAGATCTTATACCAACAACCACTATAGTGTTCGTTCTTCGAGTACCAAATGGTAAAGCAAAAGACCAGATTTTGTCGTCCAAATACGATGTATATTGTGGGACCAAATCGCGGGTAGGAATGAATGCTTAGCTAGCTAGTAATCGTGCACGCACGTGACACGACGGAGCACCAAATGGCGGGGATGCTTGACCGTAAGCCTTCAGCTAAACAAGTCGACTTAAACAGTGATGGTCAGCATCCAATGTTGAGTGATGATTGCTGTGGTTAATAATTTTGGGGAATTATTTACCGCTACAGCTCACTCCCCCCCTAGTGGGTTTGTGAGGACCCTAAGACATGACCAGCCGGAGGTAAAATAATCTCGATGGTTCCCTGACGGGTGAAAAAAATCTTCCGAGCGGCTTGATGGAGTGCCTGCTGGTCTGTCTTCCTATGCTAATAGGGTGTCTGTACATAGCTTCCTCAGTGTTGTTCGTTGGATCCCGTGCTTCGTTTGTTTCCTGTCCAGTGCCCGTTGCACCTGGAAAAGAAAACAAGAATGCTGAGAACCTTGTCAAGAAAAATGTACCAAATAAGCGTTTTTTTTACCAAAAAAATATGACATGCATCTACTATACAGTAAAATAATGTGAAGTTCAAATTATCGGGAAAAAAAAATATACATCTTATATAATTTTATGTACGGTTATAGGAAAAATATCATTTACTTGTGTTAAATGACGCAACATAAAAAAAAAATTGATGTGTCACTCAGTTATGTGAAATAGGTGTGAAGGTATTCTGGGAATCTAACGTGACGTCCAGAACGCGTTTTTTTAGAGTGATCGACCGAAGGTTCGGTGGCTTTCGCCGTGCTAGGGAGTTCTTCGAAGACTGAAGTAGATTCAATTACTTGTGAATTATTGGGTACGTTTAGCTCCAGGCTAATGGGATTACCTTCCAAGTAAGCTGGTTTCAGACGGTCGATACAGACGGTGTCTTCGCGGCCTTTTTTGTCTAAAACGAAGAATTTATCAGTACGTTTAATCACTTTATATGATCCGTCGTATGGGGGTTCTAGAGGATGACGTACCGAGTCGCGACGAACAAATACATGTGAAGAAGTTTTTAAACAAGGGTGAACAAAAACATCAATGGACTGTGGTCGGAGGGGAGCAGGTTTAACTGAACGCATAGCGTTTGTAAGCCTGCTGACGTATGAGGAGTGATCTACTACTGGTGGGAAGCTCGAGGGGGAAACAAACTCACCTGGCAGTCGTAGTGTTGTGCCATATACTAGCTCAGAGGTAGTACAACCAGCATCGGTTTTCAAGGCGTTTCGTATCCCTAGGAGAACTAACGGAAGGGATTCAGTCCAGTGGGTGTTATTTGCAGCTGATAAACCAGCTTTCAACTGTCTGTGTAGACGTTCTACCATACCATTAGCTTGAGGATGGTAGGCTGTCGTTCGAAAACGCATGCAACCAAGGACTTTAGTCAAAGCGAAGAATAAACCGCTTTCGAATTGCCGCCCAC